TGTTTGAGAACAGTCACTGGCAATGTGGAGGTGTGCAGTGTTTTGAGTGCAGTGGTGGGGAGGATTGGCTAAAATGAAAACATAGTTTTGGTCCAGAGTGGCATGAAAGTTTCTTAGCCCCACTCCCACGTGCCTGCTTCTGTTCAAAACTTTAAAGGAAGAACAAAATCTATCTTTCAATATCCAGTTTGGATATTTTTAATAAAAAGAATCTCTTAAATGAAGGGGACAGACTTTAGTATCCTTCGTAAATATTGAGACTTTCCCTCCTTGCTGTCTATTCTACAGTAATCCCCTGGTCAGTCTTCATCGTGGGGAGGCAAAAGACCCATGTTCATGTTTCTTGCTGGCCCAGGAGGACCAGAGGCCTCCACCTATCCTTTCCAGGAAGGTATCCAGAATATGCTTTTTAACCTGGAAGGGGAAGAGTGAGACCCTCCTGCAAGTAGTGGTAAACCAAATCTCTTCAGTTTTATTGCACTTCTCAGAGTTCATAAATAAAATAGTGCCATGTGCATTTCAGTGTTTTAGCCTCTAATTGTGAAAGAAAGCTTCTTCCTGACCTTCAAAAATTTGGGAAGGTAAAACCATTTAAGTGATGCAGTTTTCCTTTTGGCTCTCTAGGGCAGTAAGCGAATTAATGTGTTAGGTGCTTCCTTCTGTGGATTGAGCAAAAACTGCTGTCAAGGAAGGTGAGATGCAGAGAAAGGTAGATGCTAAAAGCATCAGGGAATTCTTGAGGTGTGACAGCAGCCTTCTCCTCCACTCCATCTTTGATGAGAGTCCTCCACGTCTGTCAGGTTGAAGTGCAATTTGTTAATACACTTGGCAGATTTTTCTTTAATTATTATTATTTTAAAAAATCATAATTTTTTTAGTCATTGTTAGTTTGGTTTGGTTTGTTGGTTTTTTGGTTTTTTGTGATTTTAAAGAGCTATTTCCAGACTAAGTCCCTTAGAAACCTCAGAACAAAATGAAGCTCTCCTCTCCTTTCAGAAACAGACCCCAGCAGCCTGGATTCTCGGGGCTGTTGCATGAGGCTTACTGGGAGGCTGTCTGATGGACTTGAGTTAGAAACTGGTAATGTGCTTTCTAGAAGGAAAGAGAAAAAATTATCCCTAAAATAGATGACCACACTGTACTTATTAATTATTGATGTTATGCTGGATAACTTCTTTCTTCTATTATGAAATTGAAGGAAGAGGTGAAATTTTAATGGAGGAGTAGGTAGGATCCAGGGATTCTTATTTAAAGACATTTTAAGGCAGACCCCACTAGTCTTGATAATGTCAATGCAGCATGTCTGCATGTCTGTGTGTGTGCGTTAGAGGAAGCTGCAGTGTGAAAACTCACCGGTGTCATACTGCTACCAGTTCTCATCTCTGTGTGATGAGTAATGTAGATATGTAATATCCTCAGCTTTACACATAAATTTGTAACTGTACTTCCATTCTAAAATCACAGGAGTTGGGAAATCTGTAGTTATTTTTCCAGGAGCAACTGGATTCTTACTGACTTGAATGTTACTGCTTTTACACCCTTTCACCCTGCTCAACACAGACAGATTTGCAATCTGAAAGCAATGTATAGACATCACTGTAAAGAACACAGAAATGCTCCAGTGATAGAATTCTTAAAATTTGTATTCAAATAGATGGGTTTGTTTTCCTATAAAACAAGTATTCAAGGTGAAGAAATGGAAAACTATCTGTTGCTCTCCCTGGAGAGATGTGCCACCTCTAAACCAGCCTGGCTGCTCTTTCCTGCAGCCCATCTGAGAAGCAGTTGCCCAATGGGAAAGGGGGGAAGAGTTGGTGAATATTTTGGAGATTTGTGTCGGTTTTTATATTTAAGTGGATTTAAATCAGAGTATCTCAGTTTAAGTCAACAGTAGCATCTGAGAATCTTGCTGGTGCAGGACTTTTCCTTATTTAAAGACAAGAACAAAAATGCAATGTCATTGCTGAGCAACCCACCTATATAGTGTGTGCGCTTCAGGAAAAAGAGTTACTGAAGTATAAAACCTATTTTGGTACTGAATTACTCCAGCTGAAATTCGGTGATTAGGAACCTGCCTCTTTCATATTTAGTCTAAATTTTAAAGTTCCTTACGAAGAGCAAGGTGGTTGGAAAGGAGAGCAATCAAACCAGCTAACCTTCTTAGCTGTTGTCAGGAAGCTGCCACGCACAAGCACGGCTACAGCGAAGGGGGGGAAAAGCTGCAGTGATTCCTTACTTGGTAAATTCCTGCTAAACTTCAAGAAAGTAGATTTGGTCTGAGTTCAGATGTTACAAATCCGCAAGGAGTCTCTCTTGGGTAGAGATTTGTCTCTGTTTTGAGAGATATACAAAAGTATGTTTTGTTCTAGCATCTTATGAGTTGGGAATAACTCCCAGTTTTTTTCTTTGCTTACTGGTGTTTGGTTTTATTATTGTAACTGAAATTCTGTAATGTGCTCAAGATCAGGTTGCACACAGGCACCTGTGAGATGACTTGTTTCTGAAGCTAGCTGAGAACTGGATTGCAGATCTGTGTCCCACAGAAATCCAAGTACCTAGAAATATCTAATCTCACTTCAAGGATATGTAGCTATAGCCCCATTTTTGCAAAAGGAGGAAATAGGGACTATTTAGTTTTTTAAACTTGCACCTGTTATTACCTCAACCAGCCAGTTGTTTATTTTATTAATGGTAACAGTATGTTCCTACTGTGTCATCTGTGGGCGTTGCATTTGCCGATTCCTTCTCTAAGAAGGGTATCAGTGCCTGCATGCTATCTGCCTTCCAATTTACGGCTTTTAATAAAGTCCTAAATGAATTATTCCAGCTTGCATAGACCTGGGAGACTGAGCTGGCTACTTTGTTGGTTGTCTGAGCTTTTCTTGAAATATGAAGATTTATAAACAGGAAGAAAAAAAATTTCTCTCTTTATTCTGAAGTTGTTTTTAAGTCTGCCGATTTTCAAGGCAGGCAACGTGGTAAAAATGTGGGTGGAGAAGTGGACATTTTCAGCACCATGCAGAGGAAGGGAAGGACAGGGTGGGGGATTCTCAACTGGGAAATAGAAAATGTTGGGTGTGTGGCAACACAGTTTCAGGAATTTGTGCCATTAGTGTTAATATCACTTTTGGTCAGAGGTCAGATTTCTGTTGTTGAAACTTTGTTTTGCAATTTTCTATCTACTGTTTTGTTGAAGAGGCTGTTTTTCCAACCTTTGAGACCCTTACTTTGTATTTCAGGTTTTCCTCTGATCTCAGAACTGATGGCTGACCCTGTCTTAGTTTGGATCATAAAACTGTTTTCTTTCAGGTGTAAAAAGCTTTTTGAGTTGTTGCCTAATTTTTTTATTGAATTGATTACTGTTTCTGTTTTAGTTACTCTAGGCTTGATTTAAAACAAATTACATTTTATATATAGGATGAAAAAAATTAATTATAAAAATGGCTGTGCCAACACAGGCAGATGCATCTCCTTTGATTATGTTCGGAAGAAACCCCTTAAAATTATTTGGAATGCTAGCATGTATGCTCAGTCTGTAGAGAAGTTTTGGGTCTCAGCATTTAATGCAGAAAGCTTTGTTTATTTTAAACCCATGAATCGCAAGCATCAGGAACTTGCTAGTTGCTTGGCTTTCCTGGTATCAAGATGTTAACAACATGTTTTCTTTCTCTTCTTCTTTTTTTCCTCTCTCTTGAATACTGAAATCTGATAATCTGATACAAAAGTCCACAAATGTGCCTGCTAAATTAAGTTAGAATATTAGTTTAGTGAACATTGGTCTGTTTTCTTCCTGCCTCCTTGAATACCTTTTTTTTTTAAAGTGCAATTTTTTTATTAATAATAAAGTGTGAATATATTTTCTTGATTTCTTAAAAAAGCTTTATATTTTAAAATTGCTTTTCAGCTGGCTTATAAAAAGGTTTTTCTAATTTCAAGTTTACAAATGACAAATATGTTTTTTAGCAAGAATGTTTTTAGCTCTCTTAAATGATTTGTTCTGTCTCAATACTTTCTAGGATTTATACTTCTTGGATTTCTGTTAGAACAAAGGAATAAATCTCTCTTTAAAATGGAATCTAATTTGACTTGATTTAGTCTGGCTTTTGCTTTAACAAAATAAAAAAAATATTATTGAAGCTCTACAGCAGATGAGATTTGTATCTTTGGTCTTTCATAGTTAATTTCTCCAGATGGGGGAACAAATATAAAGTTGAATAATACCCTGTATCCTAGAGCACAGTTTGACTGACAGATCTGGTGCCGCTGATGGAGCATTTTTTGATGAGGGGGATAACAGTGTTTCTGTCACTATGTGGCGACAATCCCAATATATTTCTCAGTACCAAATGCCATAGCATTAATGTAATCATTTGCAAGGGGTGGAGTAACTGTGGTGCAGCATACAGACCTTGCAAAAATAAATTATACAGTTGATGTCTACTGAACACAAGCATAATTGAAAACATGATTTTTTATGAACATACTGTTTACTGAGCACATTTTACTCTTTCCTAACTTGGTGTTCATCTCTATCATCTAAGTTAATTTTCTTTGTGATATTCAGTGTTTGTGCATGGGGAAAACTGCAGGTCTGTTTTGCAGTGCGGAGGGAGAGAGAATTTAAAGCGTGCTTTGCAGCGTGTTTTAACATGCCCGAGCTGCCATAGTCCAGCAGCAGTTCATGACACCTGCCTGGTTTGGGAAGATCCCTGCACTGTGATACACAGATCCGTCTGTTCTGCTTTTGCTTCTCCTCTGTGCACATTGTTGAATGCAGATGGTTTTAAGGATGTAAACTGAAGGTGGCTGCTCGGGTTACTCAGTCTGTGCTCATCTGATTCCCAGCCTCCCATTGCCTTACATCTCCCACTGCCACAGAGGATGGCTGTGCAGGTTTCTTCTGGTAACTTGCATCTTTGCAAGCTCAGTAGTTTTCATTATTCTCTTCCTGACTCTTCATAAATGAAAACTTTAGTATGTGACTTGTTTTTGTTTTGCAGCTTGCCTGATTTCTGCAGCGACCTGAAGGAGAGCTGGTGCCCAGGACTCTAGAACTTGGTGCTTTAGTACAGGCTTTCCACCAACGAGCTGGGAAGAGTAAGTAACCTGTTCCATTTCTGGGGATCCTGTGGGGTGGGAGAACTCTTTCTGAACTTTCATGTACTATGTCTTAAACACCAAATTTTCTAGGTTTCTCCCAGCACAGAGACTGAAGGTACCTGCATTTCTGTGCAGTATTTAAATTTTTTATCATGATGTTAATGAACAAAAGTAGTCCAGTTCTTGTAGTACTCCAGCAAGAGTTCATGCTTTATCCGTTTCTGTAGTTTATCTGTACCGTGACTTGCTGTGCACCTCATGTGGGAAAAGGCTGTACACATTCATAGTAGTGCTGCTCCTGTATGGTGTCAGTAATGCTATCTGTTAATGGGGACACCTGTGTTGGATATCAGTGTCCTGTGCAGTTCAAGAAGTGCAGTCTCCTGCAACATATCCAAATGGTTCTGTGTGGGTCTCAGAGTGGGAGTGAGGCCCACAGCAGCAGTACTTTGTGACTCCAGCTGAGGCTGTCTATGTGGAGGGATTACCTGGTGCCACGCTCAACACCAGCTTCTGCTGGCTATCCCTTCCTTCTCATGTGACTTTGCAGGCTGGGGATGTACTTACCAGTACCTGGCAAGCCACAGGGTTTCTCATCTTCCGAAATAAGATATGCGAGAAGTCTGGAATTGTTTACTCATAAAGAAAGTGCTGTTAGCTGGAAGTCTTGGGCTAAGCATGTCTGTAGGTTTGTCTGTGCCATACAAGTAGTTGTACTGGCAGAGCTCTGCAAAAAAACTGCACTGTTTGCTGACAGAAGCCGTAAGTTTTTCCATCAGGATTTCCTTTCTACCCTCCTGAAATTCAGCAGCACTCTTCTGGGCTTTTGCTGATGTGATCCTTACCAAGGGTGTTATTTTGTACAGTCCTAATTTGTGGAGGTGAGCTGGCAGAGCTTTCAGTTGTATGTGAGCCTTGTAGCCACTGAGAAATCTTATGCATGCCTCGAGTTCTTGCTTTACTTGTGGGGCGCACAGCTGCAAACTCTCATCCTGTGAGTTTCCACTTTAGCTGGTTAGTCAAAATATAGAGAGAAGATAAATGCCAGTATCTAGACACGGATTTAGAAAATGATCTTTCATGCTTCATATTACTTTTTGCAGAGAATTCCTTATTTAGAAAGAACTTCTCATCCTGAAGAATTTCATAAGTTTTAGGGTTTGGGGGTTTTTTGGTTAATTTTCTTTTTTCTTCCCTAAATAAAGCTACACTCCAATGAGGTATTTCTTGTTAAAGCAGTCTTTGCACAAAGGGAATGATGAGACTCTAGCCAGCCTGGGCTAGTCTCCTGTTGGTGTGCAGTTGTTTTAGCCAGTGCAGTAAAGATGTCTCTTATGGAAAGGCTCAGGGTTAATCTTGGTCTTCATGCTTTTTGTGTATATTAATCAAACAGGTTTAGTGGTCCGTAATACACAGGAGGCTTGGGGTAATGATGCAACTTCTTTTTTCAGGTTGTTTTGATTTAGTCTCTATACCTACTTGACAGAGCCTCAATTATTATGTGGGAATCAAGCAGTATCCTTCTAAAACATAGAGTTGTCATGCAGATTATTAATCAGCACAGGCTATCAGAAAGTTCCTGTTATGTTATCATCACTTAAAATCACAGAATTATAGAATGATTAGAACTAGAAAGAATAGCTGCTTGTTTGTGAAAGATGTTATTTATGAAATCAGGCTAAGTTTTTGGTGCTTGATTTTGTTAACAATATGTAGTGAAGGAAACCCTGGGGGAACTTCTCCGGTTGCAGCAGGTGAATGGAATAACCTCTGCTTCTGCTCCCAGTGCTGTGATTATTTGTCATCACTTTTGCCACTGGTAACAGCAGCAGCAGGTGTAGTACTGGGAAGTGTAGCTAAATGATACTTAAATAAATAAATTTCTTGCTATGTTGTTAGCAGTTGTTCTTGCAAACCAAGGACACAGCTCTTGCCTTGAGGAGGAGAGAGTGTTGGGGAGAGGAGAGATGTGAAAAGAAATAATTGAATTGTAGCTGGTTGATTGTCTTCAGGTGGTATTTTATTGTCCCCGTACTCATCTTACTTGTCAAAAAATGGAGAAAGGTACCATGAGGTAGAAATTAACAACATTTTAGCAAATGTTAAATATATTGCTTTTTTTAATGGAGCATTGCAATATTTAATGTGATTGTTCATGGCTCGTGATTAGGAAGCATCAGCAACAATATGAAACTATTCTGATTATTCTGACAGATGTTTAATACTAAAAAAAAATATTTTTTTTTCTAAGAATAAGTTCTTCCATCAAGAAAGATAGAACTCTTATGTGATAACTGCACATAATGAACCCTATCTTGACTGCATCCTAAAAGGCTGACCATATCTCAATATGCTACACAATGGTTTCAAATACTTTTTCAGTTCAAAAAGCTACAAATCCTACATTATATGATTTGGTTGTCTCCTCTAGACATTGTTTTTGAGGGAAGGTGAGGCTAAGCAAGTACTTTGACAAAAAAATTCAATACAATTTTCAGTGCAATTACTACTTCATTAAATTTTTCAAAAGTTGTTTAGCCTGGGATTGTTTATCCTGGGGAAAAGGAGGCTCAGGGAGGACATTATCACTCTACACAGATATCTGAAATGAGGTGGTAGTGAGTGGGGGTTGGCCTCTTCTCCCAGGTAGCCAGTGACAGGACCAGAAGAAACGGGCTTGAGTTGCACCAGGGGATGTTTAGACTGGATATTAAGAAAGATTTCTTCACTGAAAGGGTTGTCAGGCATTGGAACAGGCTGCCCAGGGAAGCGGTGGAATCACCTTGCCTAGAAGTGTTCTAAAGACATGTGGACATGGCACTTGGGGGTATGGTTTAGTGGGGAACATGGCAGTGCTGGGTTAGTGGTTGGACTGGATGATCTTAAAGGTCTTTTCCAACCTTAATAATTCTATGACTTTATGATTCTGTTTTGTTGTGACACTGATACATTAATCATGAGGTTTTGTTATAAAGCTATAGAGGTAGTTTGTGTGGTTTCCTTCTAGAAAGACCTAAAAACCACTGGGGTTTTATTTCCTATTTCATTAACTGAAAGTAATTTTTTCCCTGTGATGCTACAGAAATTACTCTTTCCAACATTTATTTATTTACTAAAATGCTGAGGGTTTTTATGGCTGATGAGCAACTGTTTAGTCAATAGAGATGTTGTATGACAGTTCTCTATATCAAATGGCTCTGCCATAAAACCTCCCAAAACTGGAAACAAAGGAGAGGTTTATTTTGTGTACTCTCTTTGTATACTACAGCACTGTTGTCCTTATAAGTTCCTCATGACTTTGACTTTCTTTTCCCTTCATATCCTTGTGGGTTAAAAACCAAAACAAGCCCCAGAGGTCTGAATTGTTTTCTAGTGAGAAATGTAAATGAGTTGCTTCCTACAAATAAGACTCTAGACCTTCCTTCAGCTCAGCAACAAATAGATGATGTTGGAAAGAGATGTAGCACTTGTCGAGTTTATGATGAACTGAGACATTCAGACACATGCTTGGGAGCTACACCTAAAAAATGGGACTTTTAAAGGGTGGTGGTGGGGGAAGTAATAGAGATTAAAATCCTGAATCATACCTCAGAAATAGTTCATCTGCTTTCAGTCATTCCTGGATTCAGCTGCTTCAGAGAAGTAAGAAAGCCAAGAAATTGTGCAGAAGGCAGAGTGAAAAATCTGTTCACAGTTTCTTCCAAATCCTATTAGATGAAAGCCATGTTATCCTTTGAAACAAGATACCCTAGATCTTAGGTGATTTTTTTTTTGTTGGCTTTGGTACTTTAAAAAAAAAAAAACAAAACTTTAGACATTTTTGTTATTCACTAACCACCTTTATAACCCTGCTAGATTTTTGTCTTTTTTTTTTTTGTTGAATCTAAACTTTCTCATTAACCTCTTTGTGAATTGCACAGAAAAATGTCAATTAAAAAAAAAAGTCACCTTCCATTCAGATTCTTACTTGCATCATATTACAGAATTTGTAACTTTTAAGGTAGTGTTAGATGATTTTATACAGTTTTGGAGAGTCATTCTTGGACCACCTTTCTCCGATATTGGGCTGGAAATTAGAACTTGTTCCTTGTGCCAACATTACACTTTGAAGTTTTTGTTTCTTCTCTTGGCCTTCATTTTGCTGTAAAACAAACCTTTAATATCCTTGTACAAGGCAGAAATCTATCACCTTGATTATCTTCCAATTCCCTGTATTTTCCATTAATCCCTGGTGTGTGAGGGACCAGATGCTACCGGGCTGTTTCAGATGAGGTCTGGATGTTACCTCCCACGACCCTATCAGTGTTTTCTCAGCTCTGCAGGACAGATTGTAACCAGAGAACAAATTTGCTTGCCCCCATGCATACATCAGACTAGAAGCTCAGAGCAGCACCCTGCTGAGGTAGCTGGGTCTCCTTCCATCATATCCAAACATTTGAATCACAGCCCAACACTGACAGCAGAATTTCTTAGTGATTCCCTGAATAAATTATCTTGTGCTTTGTTCTTCATTACATTTCTCTTATGCTCCTTATTGGCATCCAGTTTTCCTTTTGATGATTCGATCTTTCTCTTTCCAGGACAATGTCCAAATTTTTTGTCACCAGATTTCACTGATACCTTTTGTGGCAGGATCATTAATGACAATATTAATTGAAAATTCCTTTTATCATTCAGTATTTTCCACTCTGTTGGTTAATCTGTGTTTTCCCTCCTCCGTGGTAAACATTTTGTGGTTCCTTCTATGCATCAAAGCTCCTGTACAATAGCTTTGATAATTGTCCATTCCCTAAGTCTTCCTTATTTTACTGTCTCTGAAAAATACTTGAAAATACTTGGGCTTGTCTGGGCTGCTGAAGTTTGTATACAGCATCTGAGATCAAAATCAAGTATGGAGAAAGCCTGTTTTAGTGTCTTACAGCCTTCCATTGCCACAGGTAAAATGAAATTTTGTTAAAGTAACAGTTTACTTCATTGTCATTCCTCTGCTCTAAATT